GCTTCTTCAATTCTGTCTTGCACAAGCGCGCTTACCTCCAATTGACCGAGCGGTACCAGACAAAGAACCGCCACTGGGTTGTAGGAACTGCAAATGTGGCCGAAGGCAAATCCCCGGCGATGTCGCCGCTGGTTGAAGCTTTGGAGAAGGCTTTGGAGCAACATTCTGCTTTTGCAGTGGGCAGCGTGGGAGATCAATTTCATTTGCAGCAGGCTGGGCCGAAGCCACCATTATCTACCATTCAAAACTACATAATGGTCCCATCCTCTTGAAGCAAGCGCCTCCATGCCCGTCCCTATAGAAATCCTCCAAAAGCAACCTCCCGTACTGGAACCTGCAATCGTTCCTCATAGTATCTCACGATCATGTACCATCGTCACAAATTAAATACATTATTCAAACTTTTGTACGGTTGCGGTTACATCTGCCCCTAATCTTTCCGTTCTTGTTGCTTCCACCTCGCTCTTCCCTTGTGCAGAACCTGAGGCCAGCACTGCCGCTGCTGCCCGCGAGAAATTGCGCCTATGTGAAGGTTATCTAACAGTGCACACTGATGAAGCAGGAGCTTGCCTTTGCCCTGCATTTGCCAATGGTGGCAGCACAGACCCATCACGCTTCATAGACTTGCAGCTTTTCCTGAATGCAGCCCATGGGGGCAGTTTCAGCTTTAGCACACAAATTGACCGCCAAAAAGTCCTGAAGCCGAAGCCTACCAACCCGGCAGCGCCCGTGCCGGAACCTGTCGGAATGACATTGAAGGAAACAAATGTACACTTCATTTTCTTGCAGCAGCAGATGTTCTTTGCAAATTGGTGGGCTTTGGTCGCAGCAAACAAACCCCTTGGCCTTGTTCAGCGATGTCTATTTTCTTTCGGCGCCCGTCTGAATGTAGGCAAGCAAACTTGGAATGCCTTCTCGCAGGACATCGCGATGCCCGTCATTGAGCGACTCTTTGCTGCTTTGATTCGCAGATTTGGTCCGCGTATGACTTCTGTGGAGCAAGCGGTCTTCCATACAACTGGGTGCCAACGTGCTGTTCTTGTGGAGTTAGAAGAGATTGGCCGTCTGTTTGCAAGAAAAGATTCTGTTTCTTCAGTGTTGCGAGAAGCTATGCCCAAAGCCATGTATTGGCTAGGCACAAGCATGATGACTAACCATCTTGTGCAGCATTTGTGGCCAGCTGCCTTAGGCGGTCCTTTACCTGATGATGTGCCCATGTATGTGAATGATGCTTGCTTCCTTGCGTCGGTGCAATTCATTCAGAAACGCTACCTCTATGGCCAGGCTGTTCTTGCAGTTTCAGCGAAGGAACAGATTTGGAACCCACGCAGCGACTCTCTCGATTCGTCAGATCTCTTGCCACTGTTGCTTCGCATTCTTCGTGGCGCGCCTGGTGCCTTCATCACTGCTGATCACATTTTTTGCGCAGACCTGGCGCTCAAACGCTCACTTGAAAGAGGTGGCGATGCTGGTGCGAAGCTTGCTGAATTGAAGATTGCAACCATTTGGCAGCACCTCAAAGACCTCGGTATTGGAGAAATTTGTGCCACTGGAGTTGCAGGCTACATGCAAAAGTATCACATCCAATCTTTGAGCCAGCGTTGTCTGACTTGGCTTCGAAATCACCGGGTTCCTCTATCCCATTTTGGATTGCGGACAACAGTCGACCACGATGCGTTTCTCGGAAGGTTCCCTGGCCATTCTGACATCAATGTTGCCTTTCCGCCTCGTGACCATCCACAGACACCCAACGCTGCAGCCGAGGAAGCCAAGACAGCAACAGATGTTTCTTCGGAGCCTCCTACAGCTGCCCTTCCGAAAACGAAACCGAGCGGTGGATTTGGGGACTCCCTTGCTGTCAAACAAAGACCTTCTGCATCATCTGCGGCACAGAGGCGAATGGAGTACATGCCGCGTCTCTGTCCGCATTGCTTGGCAGAATAAGCAACGAGTCCAAGCTGAAGCCCGGTGCTTAGAGAGTGCTGCGTGCCCGTGCCGCTGGCGCGCGCACTATATACTAGCTGCAGCTATCTACCAGCCAGGCACGCTCATTCTACAATGCAGTGGTGCTCATTCTGGACATGAGGCATGTCTTGCTGCTACTGGGAAAGTCTTTAATGCAAAACAGGAAACTCTGGCAGTGCAATTCTTTGATAAAGGTGGGCGCACTGGCAAAAACTTACGGGCTGCGCTGCTAGCTGGTGGCTGTGCTGAATCGTCTTTGCCCACCAACACGCAGCTCTCCAACTGGCTGAAGAACATGAGGAAACGCAGAAAGCCGGCTTTGGATTGCGACCTACACATCGTCGAAGCTGTTCAGTTGGAAGTCAACAAGCTACCCCAGAGCCCGCCCAAGCAATTAGATTCAATGTTTCTATTGGAACAGCCACTCATCAGCGATTCGGAAGTGTGCGTTCTCTTTGCGTGCCCGGGTATGCTGGAAGCCCTCGGCCGCTACGACGGTCCTGATGTTGCTCTTGCGGTCGACACCAAGATGAAAGTACTTGACCGGGGTATGGGCGTGGCTACTTTGAGCTTGCTTGTGAAAGACGCTTTGCGACCAACCCATTTGCCGAGAGGCCCTGGTGGTTGTCGCACCCAAAGCCGCGCTTGGACTTCACATGGACTGCCCATAGTGCAAGCCGTGTTTCACGCCGAAACAAAGCCGAACTATATCCGCCTTTTCCAGAAGATCTGTGACCTATGGGCTTCTCGACAACCACGCCGCTCGCCGCTCCAAGAACAACTAACGCTCCAAATTCACAAAGATTTCCACCCCAGCACTGAGGAAGCTCGACTGCAAGTGCTACCGCTCTCGCGAGCGTGTGATGATTTTTTTCCACCTGAAGCAAAAATCTTTGACTACTATGCAAGCCAAATGCAAGCAAGTGATTCATCGCAAAGGAAAATACATCAAAAAGAACCTCGGGTTTGCTTTGGATACACTTGAGATTCTGCGGCTGGTGCCTACCTTGCCTCTCTTTAGCTGGCTGTGGAAAGCTTTCCTAGCCACGCTCGGTAGCCTTGGCGAGCCAGAGTTAGCCAACTACCTCAAGAGTTACGAACGTGTTCTTCCGGCACAATTTGCTTGCCAAATGTTGCCAGATGACATTGTCTACGTCAGCTTCTGGATTGGCTTTGACGGCATCATCTCCGGTTCTGGTAGCGGCAGCGAGCCCGCAGAAGCTTTGCATTCATCTTGGCAACGCGAGCTCAGTCAGCTCGGCGGGCGTGGCAACATCAACCATGGCTTGCAAGTCTTGCAGCAGCTCTACACGCAACATTGGAAAGATTGGTACAAATGGGGTGACTCTTCATCTTTGTCTTTTGCGCCAGTAAGTCGAGATCCGCAGCTCATCAATGGCACAGCTTTGGTTCGTGCTGGACGTACACCCGCTGCCCATTTGAACAAGTTGCCTCGTGATACCTTGTACATCCTGCACCCATGCGCCAATCTTTCTTGGGTCGCATTTGCAAGCGCTGCCAGAACATCCCCGCTGAACTGCAGCGTTGCGCGCAAAGTTCTCCATGTCCTTCTACACCCTGAAACCTTGACTGCGCACAGTTTGCCAGACCTCTTCGCTGCTGATGGAACCCTTTCCCTGGAGTCTTTGCGGTTCCATTTTGAAAGCATCGTGTATCTCAAAATCAAATCAACTTCGATACTATGTTCTTGCCTGGCAGCCGCCATGCATGCACAATGCGAACAGTCAACATTTCTTCGTAGTTGCAGCCTTCCCAACTTTTCGTCTCCGGCTTTGAATCTTTCGACAGTGCCAGCCAACAAGAAAGGTGGGCGAAAGAAAGCTTCCAACCTTCCCCCGCGCAAACGCCGCCGCGTTTCTTCCTGATGCCACAAACAAAACTTTCTTGCTGCCATGGAAAAAGGTGAGACATCAAACATTATCTAACGCAGCTCTTTCGTTTCTTTGGTCATTAAACGTTAAACTTTGCATTTTTCATACTGGCTGTGCTTTACCGATTCTGCTCGTCGATTCGACACTTCTGCGCAGTGCGTAGCCATACTGTACGATCTGTCACCGCTGCCAGGTCTTTCTCGCCTACCGCGTCGGGGCGGGGTGCGGCGCCCAACTAACTATACGCACGGTTTTTCTTCTCCCGTTAGCGCCCGCCTTGCCGTGGCGGAGAAGCTCAGTACCGCGCAACTGCGCGGGAAGCTAAGCGGCGCTTGTCGGCCTGCAGCTGCATCTGCTAGTGCTTGGTCTCTTGTATAGCTGTATGTCGCGATTGCCGGTTGCCATTGCCGGTCGTTGCAGCGGCTAGATGCCTCGGTGCTGCTGCTGCTGCTGGTGCCTGCTGCTGCTGCTGCTGCTGCTGCGGCTGCTGCTGCTGCTGCTGCTGTGCTCTGTTGCTGCTACCGCTGCGGCTGATGCCGGTGCTGCCGCCGCTGCTGCTGCATTACTGCTACCGCTGCCGCTGATGCCGCTCCTGCCGCTGCTGCTGGTGCTGCTGCTGCTGCTGTGACCGGTCCGCGTGCTGCCTTTGCTGCTGCGTTGCTGCTTGCAAGGCAACAACAGCTGTCGCAAAAAACACCCCTCACGGCTGCAAAAAACACCGCCGTCGCAAAAAACACCTCGAGACGTACGCTCCGACGAGTTGTGGGCTGACCACTGTTGCAAAAAACGCCGCTCACTGATGCAAAAAACACCGCCGTCGCAAAAAACACCTCGAGACGTACGCTCCGACGATTTGTGGGCTGCCCACTGTCGCAAAAAACACCGCTCACTGACGCAAAAAACACCACCGTAGCAAACAACACCGTGCAGACGTCCACAAAAACACCGGTTCCGGGCTCACCGTGTGAAAAAACACCCGTGGAACTGTTGCAATAAACACCTTCCCCAGAGCTGTCGCAAAAAACCCTGAAACAAAGTACTGTCGCAGAAAACCCTGATTACTGACGCAATTTACCCGAAGCCCTCCACTTTCATGATAATTTCAAGCTTTCCTCTAGGGTCGTGTCCGTGGCATGGCGTAAGGCAGATGCCTTGAAGATCCCCAAGCTGAATGAGCTGATTGTGCCGTGGAGAAGGAGCATGGGGAGCGTGGCAGGTTGTAGACTGACGGTGAGAAACACTCCGCATCAAACTCAGAGAGGGTAGCTGATGATTTCGAGGTAGAGTCCATGATATCACAGCATTTTTAAGTAATGTACCGAATGTAACTAATCAGGTCAACGCCCTGATGGTAGCAAGAGCTTGTCAAACAAAGCGAATCAGAAAGCCTGCACCTTGAAACGGTGGCGAACAGCACCCTTTCTCTCCTGTCTTTTTGGAGACATACATCGAGACCAAGAGAAATCAACCACTAGACCCACTTCGCGAACGTGAGAAAGGATGACCAGACCGTGGTCGACCTGGGCCACCGCTGAGGCCTACCGCTGTTTGGAGTCCTTGTCCCGAAGCAGCGAAACACGTGGTGCCCACACCGCTGCAGAGCTGACGTTGATCCACCTGCTGCTGAGGATTTTGCACTTGGCCAACATCCCGAAGGACCGGCAAATTTCTAATCTCAGCCAGTGAGAGAAACACTCAGCCAGTGGTTTCCAGCGAGACAGAGAAGGACTTGGTTTTTTCCTGAGCTCGGCTATCCTTCAGTGACATCCGTCGATGACAGGAAGATGTGGAGAAGATTCGGGAACTGCAAGTGATCCCCACCGAGAGCGGGAAGCTTTGTCCCTGGGACAGAAGAAGACCTGAATAGCCTTTGCAAGACCCGATTCAAGATGCAGAAGAAAGGAGTAGTCAGTGTAAAGGGCAATTCGGAGGAGGGAAACGATTGATTTTGTTGTGTTTTCCATTGTCCGTCAATGTGAGAGTTTTGACCGCCTGTGAGGGACCTGGGCTCGGGTGGTGTAAAGCTATCCAAAATGGACGCGCGACCTGCAGACCAGGTTGCCCGCTCCCACACTATGTTTGGAGGATGATGTTTGTGGACTGAAACCAGGAAACCGATCCCTGCTTGGAGATCAGGTTCGGTCAAGCAAAAGATTTACATGGTTGATGAGAAGATGGCCGAGATGCTTCAAGGCGCCCTTTCAGCACTGCCAGTGCATCCAATGCCGCCAGCATAGGCAGTCGAAAACTCGAGCAAAGGACCCAAGGTTCACCAAAAGGGATGGACCTCAAAACACAATTCCTTTGCTGGTGGCAACAGGAAATCCAAACCCTCCAGGCAAACTGGTTCAAGTTGGTTGCATTCATTGGCTCAGAGAAACATCATTAAGTTCTTCTGGCGAAGTGGTTGGTGAACTCCCACAGATAGAGTCAAAGAGTTTTGCAGAAGTCATCCACTGGATCACGAACTATGCATCCGAGAGTTTTGAAGACCTTTCTTGCATTTGGTGTTTTCAAAGCGGCACGAAAGACAAAACATGGCAGGTTATGCAGAGGGCCTCAACCTGAAGTTTCAGCAGACCATGCATCCCGATGTTGGACATTTCCTCAAGCGGCTCGGGGTTCAGCAGACGGATGGTGCCAAGTTTCTGAACGAGTCTTGTCCATCCAAGTGGACCGCAGGGGGTTGCAGAGTGAGGAATGAGCATGTAGCAGTGGGAAAGTACGGAGGAGAGCCTTGTTGCAAGAACTCATGATTGACCAGTCCCTCCCCAAGTGGGTTTTCGGGGTACTCGTTGTAGTGATCCTCCACATCCTCAACTGTAGGAACTAAGGGTTTTGGTTGATTGCCGTGATTAATGCATTGTCCTTTTTCAGATGGGCTCCTGAGGTACGATGATTCGGCCATCCTTTTCACGCTTGTGGTTGGAAGTGGGAAATTTCTTTCGAGCTCATTGATCATTGTGTTTTTGTTCTACGTTGAATCATATAGGAAGCGTGTTTGTTAAATAAAACCGAAGCACGCTGTGCGGGAAAGCCTTGATGTGTTGTCAAGACTAGACGATTTCACGAGATGCTTCACAATGCATTTCACGATAAAAAAAGTCATCCAAAAAAGCTTTTCTTAGAAGCCAGAAAGAACAGACATACGTCCCCACTGCTCACCAAAAGGTTTCGCCTTCCAATTTGCCCTTCACAGAGCTTCCACTCAACCTTGATTGAAGCCGCTTTCGGATGTCCAAAGGGCTATATCCCTGTGAGCACTCTTGACTCGAATCCCAAAGATCTTTGGCAAAGCCCTTCTTACCTTTTGAGTCTGGCTCGGGGGTATATCAAAGAGGGCTCCAGTGAACTTTCGAGACCCTCTGGCTCTGGCGGTGGAAGAAGTCGAACAGTTGTGCCCACCTGACGTCAAAGTCAGTTTCACAACTTTTGAGCAAGGCTTGGGTGACCAACCCACAGAGGATCTTTGTGGGAAAGTTGTTGCTAGAGCAAGAGGCGCTTCCAACTTGGGGAGTGCGTAAACATTCCGCTCCAGCCCAAACCACCTCTCGGATTATGTCCTGGACAGGAGATTCTGGTGCCGATCTTGACTGCCGAAGAGATCCCAGACTACGAGCAACTGATTTCCGCTACACAGAGGAGCCGCTACTGCTTGAGTTCTTTGAACCCGCAACCAAGAACGGAATTTCTTTGCCGTTTGCGAACCAAGATGTGGGTGGTGGTTGACAAACCGCAACCACCCAGAGCCTTGGCAGGGTGATTGGTTAACAGACGGTGATTGAGTGATTTCCCAAATTGTGATAATTGTGCTTGCTTCTTTGGTGGCTTAAACTTGCAAGAAAACCTGAATTCGATCCATTTCTTGAAGTATATAAGTCTCGGTCAGCTTCGTGTCTCCGATCGGCCATGCCTGCAGACTTTGTGATCCCAGGAAACATGTTGACGACTATGCAAGATCCCGTGCAACTGTGCGACACTGTGGTGCATGTTGTGTCTTTGCCACCTGGCATTCGCAGTTCTTGGAAAGGACCGCCCCGGTACAGCGTGTCCTGGCTCTACAAGCAGGACCGAGCGGCACCAAAGCTGTTTATGGCCGACAATCATTTTCGGGCTTGTGGTGTAACAGGACACACTTGGTAACTCTCTCATGTGCCTCCGGGCTTTCTACACAGCTGTGGTTGGTTGTTTCTGTGTCGCAGGATGATGACGGAGCCGGTGACAATCTGCCTTGGGAACAGTTTTGGGAAGAACTTGGATGCTGGCCAGTCATCAGTCTCCAAGTGCCCAAAGGACATGGCTGTTTGAGGTTGTTTGTGAAATATATTGAAAAATATTGAAAATCTAATGCGTATGAATATGAATGTATTGTATTTTGCACTTCAAACGTCCCAATGTCGTGGAAGAATGGTGTCATCGGAGGAATGCTTCAAACTCTTCATCATTGGCTCAAGTTTTCAAAGGCCAACGTTCTGGGCGCAGAGATAATTGTTCACCTAGATGTGTAGTTTGTGTGAATTTCTAGGTGGTAGTTCCTTGAGCACTTTTGACCCTTCGGTTGTGCGGTTCGTCCACCAGCTGTCCCGGTGACACTTCCTGCCCAAGCGGGCCCCTTGAGCTTCGAGCTTTCACTTGGCGACTGACGCCATGGACTAGGCACTTGTGGAAAAGCCAGCGGCTTTTGACTGTTTTGCATTGTTTTGTGCACGTCGTTCGGTGCTACTGGCCCTCACGAGTTGGTAGTGCGGAGCTGACGACCCAGGACCCTTTTGATGATGCCACGCTGGCCTTTCAGTGCTTGGGCCGGCCATCGAGGGCCTCCTCCCGACGCCGATGCAGATGCTCGCTATGCCCAGGACTACCCCCACCTCTTCGACCCCGAGCTCTTCGAGGAGGATGAAGGCGAGTACGATGGGCCGGATGACGCCCAAGGCTGGTGGCATGAGCCAGAGCCTGATGGACCTTCGAGGACTAGCGGCTCCGTTCGGACGTGCGTCATGCGCGGTTCCGGGCTGACCTCATGGGACGTTGTTGGTGAAGAAGCCCGGGTGTGCAATGTTTGCAAGACGAAGAACAACTTTGATGCCAGCCAACCATACAAGGAAGAGACACCAGCTGGCACATGGGTCTACATGCCTAACGGTCCTCCCGGTGACTATGGTGATGGATCTACGGCCTCGAGACCACATCGACGACGAGTTCGACGGTCTCGTAAGCATAGACACGCTCCTCCCAATGGCGATCCTCATGATGATCACCCCGAAGAAGGACAAGCAGAGTCGGAACGACTGACGGTCGACCCAGTGGTTGATGTGACGCCCCGGCCATCTCATGCCGGCGACCTATACCTCCAGGACAAGGAGATCGACCTCGTCGTGGACGACGTCCGGGCCGACAAGGCCCACGTGAGCCTGCGCCCGTGCCTGCGCGGTTGAAGCGGCTGCGCCACAGGATTCGTTGGAGAGACTGGCCACTCTCCTGGCCAATGCATTGCATGGTCAACGACACCATGTCAAGGACGCACCTCCATGGATTCCTGGAAGAGCGCATGTGGGACCTCAACGCAGGGTCAAGTTTCGAGGTGGAGCTCCACCAGCTCCACCGACCTGGAGCTACCAGGCGTCCGACATCCGCGCCTATGACAAGTTCGAGCGCAAGGTGAGGATATGGCAGCTCCAGGCAAAGCACTATATGACTGAGTCCGAGATCGGCGTCGCTTTGTTCAACTCCCTGAAGGGAGAGGCTGAGGCTGAACTGGAGTTCATGTCCATCGAGTCGCTCAGGTGTTGACAACATTTTGCTCCAACTCAAGCAGCGCACTCTCTACATCAAGCGGCAGTCGTTCCTTCATGACTATATGAAGCCATCGGAAGATGGCCCGACGAGAGCCTCAGAGGGTTCTGCAATCGCTACCGCAGGACGGAAGCCTCCCTCAAAGCGATTGGCATTGACATCGGCCTCACCTATGGCTCAGAGAGTCGCGGATCTCGACTCTCCGTTGAACAGCAGCGCATGGTGTTGGTTGGAACGGCTCAGGCCCTTGATTTTGAAAGTGTTCGTATTGCCCTGACTTTGCAGTACCCAGAGCACAAACCACCTCCTCCAGTTTCAGGCCGTGAAGCTTCGAGTGCACCCTTCCAGAATTAAGGGCTATGGCAAGAGTGGCAACCACACCTTCAACTACACCTTCTGGCGGGAAAAGGTGGCAAAGGGTTCTCCAAGGGCCCTCGCAAGGTGTTCCAGACTGAGACAGTTGAGCCTGAGGACACCAATGAAGAGCAGGTCGATGACCATGAGCTGCCCTCCATCCCTGAGGATGGCGAGATCGGCAACGTAGATGATTTCGACAACGATGACAATGAGCAGGACAACTCGCAAAATGATGCGGGGGAAGGTGAAGCTTTGGATGATCCGGCCACCGTGCTCACAGTGACAGCACGCAAATGGGCCAATATGACTCAAGGCCGCAAATTTTCTGGCCAACCACGGCCGACAGTGGCAGAGCGCAAGAAGCGTTCAGTTTGCGCTGCGTGTGGAGAGCGTGGACACTGGGCCAATGACCCTGAGTGCAGTTTGACGCAATCCACTTCTTCGTCATCCAGCACCCCGAAGGGGAAGAGCAAAGGCCAAAAAGGCCGTGACGATCGAGGATCCGGAGACGCAGCCAAAAAGGTCATGACGGTTCACCACAGCTCGGGATTTGACTCGACCGTGGAATACCTCCCACCAGATGCTTCACCACAAGTTCATTTTGCAGTGGTTTGTTCCTTGCCCTTCACGTGTCTTAGCACCACCTCCACCGAGGCGTTCGGCCACACGGTGTGATGGACACCGCATGCCAACGTTCACGCTGTGGTTGCACATGGTACGATGGTCACCACCAACTTCTTCGGGATCAGTTCATGTTGAAGATCATGGAAGAGTCCAGTCATGAGCGTTTATTGGTTCTGGAGCTCCCATCACCTCCACCAAGAAGATTTGGATCCCTGGGGCCATCGACAACCAGTGTTTGATTTTGGGTGCAAATGTTTTGGACGTTGACATCCCGTTTTTGTTGATTGACCTCACCAAGAACACGGTTCATTTCTCAAAGCGAGGACACCTGGCCATCAGCATTTGTGATTTTCCACCAAGGCCCAACCGTTTGACTGTTTGGGGAAAGATCTATGAGAAAGGTTTGAATGACCCAGAGGGTGCTACGGTTTTGCACTTGGAGCCTGTTCTTGACGATCGCGCTGCAGTTTTGCCACCCTGCCATGGAGGAGCACTACAACCAGACCGTGCGGCAGCGATGGAAGCACTTGCGCGCGCCATCTGGCGTGCCTCCGCGGCGCATCTCCGACAGGCAGTTCGCCTGGGATTGATGCCGCGTGTGGACTACATCAAGATCCTCAAGGACAAGGGCGACAAGGAGCAGACCGACCTCAAGCCGAAGGCCCGTGCAAAGGCCAAACCGAAGAGCAAGAGCGCCAGCAGGAGCACTCCCATCAGTGCCACCGAGCAGTTCCAGCATCAAGCCCAGGAACAATGCTCTCATCCGAGCTACAAGAGGCACGGAAACAGACACGGCAGCTTCGCGACCTGCACGGTGTGCCTGGCTCGATGGCGATGGGAAGGAACCGGATGGAAGTCGCATGGCGCCTCTTGCAAGTTATCACTGCCTCTACCATCTTTCTTGACGACGGTGGATGGTTCAATCCAACCACCAGGCTACCAGGCAGATCCCATCCTACCTCCTCCGGGCTTTGCCAATCCCATCCATCCCATTCAGATGGGTACGCAGCAGCTGACAACTGGACCTCTGAACGCAGGCATGCTTCCCATTCAGCCCAGGCAGACCACCTACATGCCCAAGGCCAAGTCAAGATCGAGGACTTCAGGACCAGTTCCGACGGCGGCACCTTCGAAGAGTGGCGTATAGTCAGGTCCAGAGCACCTTCCATGACCTCTTCGGCAGCCGGCCACATGAAGAGCGCAGGCGAGATGCCGGACTACGACCTCGAGAACATGGAGCTGAAGGGCTTTGCGGACGACTGGGACCAGATCAGTGTCTACAGCACCTGGCCGGAGGAAAGCGGAAACGAATGCTAGGAGATGTCAAGAAGATTTCAGCCCTCTGGACTTCGGAAGCGCTGACCTTGAATCAGCTTCCTCCAGAACGTGACAAGCCACATGTGATAGACGTCTTCGAGCTCTTCGCTGGTTCGGCGAAGGCAACTATGATGGCTAAGGACTTCAAGCTGAATGCACTGGAGCTGCTTTTGCTTTTGGGCTTTCCACGCACACTCTTTCTTCTCTATCATGAACGAGAACTGCAACTACTATGACCGGCTATGGGAGCTGGAGTTGCTGCGAGAAGAGATTTGCCCCCTCCTAAGTGGGCGTGTGAGAAATGTGAAGAACAACTTCGTGAAGGACGCTTCTTCCTCTTCGAGAACCCTGAGAAGAGCCGTATTTGGGAAGAAGAGTCAGTGCGATGGCTGGCTGACCAACCTGGAGTTGAGATTGTCCTCACCGACGGTGGCGCCTTGGGAGCAGTGGACCGAGATAACTACCCCATCATCAAGACCTATAAGTTCATGCTCAACAACGGCAAGATCGCACAAGCTCTTCGACGATGTCTTAGCGCCCAAGAACGGCAAGTTTGCAGACCCTTGGAGGGCATCCATGTCACTGAGTCGCAGGTCTACCCTGACAACTTGGTAAAGGCCATCCTCTCGGCGCTCAAGAAGGAGGCCAAGACCTGGAGTCCTCATCGATTTGATGACCTGTATACAACGTCTACTTCGGACAGCCCGTGGAAGACCATGAACGCTGGCGAAAGATCCTGACTGACATCCAGAACACCTTCATTGGCAGCTCGGTGAGATCCCTTCTGGTTCAACCTGCTTCGACCCGCCTACGGCCTGGAGTCTTGGACACCTGACCTCGATGACATCCGCGCTCTCAAGAACGCGGAAAAGACACTTGCTGAAGGCCTGTGGTCAGACCAAAGAGGACCTGGCCCACCAGACGACGAGCCATTGGATCCTGACATCACACAGCAGGAGCACGACATACCAATCCAGGAAGACATTCCTGAACCAATTCCACTTCTAGGTCTACCTCAATCAACAGCCCTTTCACCTTTACCAGTACCTCCACGACATGAGCAACCAACGACAACAACACACACAGCAGTGTATTCACCCACATTCAACCAAACCATCAGGCAGAACATCCACCAACACTTTGATGGCGCAACATATGAACGCAACGTTCGAGCACGAACTGAACCACCTTCTGCATCACGCAAGTGCTTCACCTTTCCCACAGGCAGAAGCAGAAGCATGTGCACACCTTGAACATGCACGGCAGACAACAGCACAGGAAGACATACAAGCCTACATGAGACAACAACAGGCAAGCATGCATGCAGAACATGAGCTTCAACAGGCAGAACATCATGAAGTACCACCACTCACAGACATACCTTCCATGTCTACTGCGAATGAACCGCCACAAGCAGACACACAAGCAGCGGCAGCCGCAGAACAGACAGCAGCAAGCATCCACTCCGGCGGAACATCCCGCAGTCGGAGTGACAGAGGACATGAGGTGAGAACCACCTTTATTGTGCAAGATGCACCAACTGAGCCAAGGTACAACTCGTGAGAGATGGCTGGGATGGCAACCTGAACTATGTCTTTGCCTTCAAGAGCAAGGCCTTCCAGACTCTGGCTGCCAAGATGGAGGATGCTGAAGTGTCAAGCGAGTCCAGCGATGACGATGAGACACATGACACTCCTCCCTCCATCAAGCCCATGTCGCGCCAGGAGCGCAAAGCCTTGGACCGTGAGATCCCTTGGTGAACGATCATCGCCAGTCCAGCTGAGGTGGTAGCGCTCTATATGTTGCTGCAGACACCAAGGAGTACAACAGCTGGCTCAGTTGGAACTGCATTGAGCCTGTCAACGACATGGAGTACAAGATCATCATATCCACGCCCTGAATGCGCAAGAGACTGGTGCCTTCAAGAAACGCCTACCACGACAAGAATCGTGGCGCTGGGCCTGACATCAAGGCCAAATGCCGCACAGTGATCCTGGGATGCCTAGATCCTGACCTCCACATGCTCAACCGCAGCCCTACTCCTTCCAAGCTCGCCGAACTGGTGTTGCTACAGATAGCAACGGCCGGCCTTTCAGGACTTGTTGAGCTCACAGGTCTTCGATGGAGCCTCTGGAGCGGTGACGTCAGCACCGCACTCCTTCAAGGTGGCGCTCCTGCAGAGCGAGATCAGCCGATTTGGGTGAAGCCACCACAAGATGGAGTTCAGGCCTTAGCAAAGACATTTGCCCATGGCCTCTACAAGATCACCGGCTACCTATATGGTCTAGCCTCCGCTACCAGGACCTGGTGGCAGAATGTGCTGAAGACAACAACAGCACGCGGGTTTAAACACCGATATGATCGGTGCCTCCTGGTCAAGCGGGGCGACAAAGGCTTGCTCCTTGCTGCAATGATCGTCCACGTCGATGATTTTTTGGTGACATTCAGGCAAGACTACGACATCTCCGAACTGGAGGGCATGTTCACTTGGGGTTCAAAGACCCTTCTTTCGGAAGACAATGTCATTATCTTCCGCGGCAAGGAGATCCGCATGGATAAGGTGGACGGTCACATGACCATCAGAGTGACCCAAGAAGCCTTCATCAATGAGATGGACGGTGGCAAGCTGGCTCATGGCAGGTTGACTGCAACGAGCCTCTCCGAGAACGAGCGCAAGGAGTTTCGTTCGGTTGCTGGCTCCCTTCAATGGCTTGGAGGACAAACACGCCCTGACCTGTGCTCGGCAGTCAGCTTGGCAAACAAGGCTTTGGAGACCCGGCCTGAGGGTTTGAAGACCCTCTTCGACTACATCTCCCTGGCGAAGAGCACGCCGCGGCTTGGCCCCCCTTCAACGGCGCCGGCGTGCTGATCGGCTAAGGAGACTCCTCTTGGGCAAATGCCCCTGGTGGAAAGAGTCAGATGGGCAGCTTGGTTCTTTTCAGCTCACCTCGCTGCTTTGAGCGCAAGACACATGTGAGCATCCTGGATTGGAAGAGCGCCCGATCCCCGAGGGTGACTAGGTCAACATTGGCCTCCGAGGCCAACGCAATGGACGAGACAGTGGATCGCTGCACCTATGCGAACCACTTCATCACTGACCTCCTCTATGGTGGCACCCTCAAAGGTCCTCATGACCATGGTCGAGCTCTTCGGCAACTCCAATGCACAGACTGCAAGAGTCTGTACGATGCCGTGGTGTCGAGCAACCCCTCCACCATGGAGAAGAGGACAATGATCAGCATCCGCAGCATCCAAGATTACATCTCGGATGATGACTGCAGCCCACTGACGTGATGTGGGCTGACGTCCTTGCAAAAGAGGACAAGCAGCTGCGCAGGGGATTCCAATCCTGGCTTTCGCACCCTTTTATGGCACTGGTGGACGAAAGAGAAAGTTACCAGTGTGAATTTCTAGGTGGCAGTTCCTTGAGCACTTTTGACCCTTCGGTTGCGCGGTTCGTCCACCAGCTGTCCCGGTGACACTTCCTGCCCAAGCGGGCCCCTTGAGCTTCGAGTTTTCACTTGGCGACTGACGCCATGGACTAGGCACTTGTGGAAAAGCCAGCGGCATTTGACTGTTTTGCCGCTTTGTTTTGCGCACGTCGTTCGGTGCTACTGGCCCTCACGAGAGTTTGGACATTGGAAGACCGTACCTTTGGTCAAACCAAAGACGACCAGCATGGTTTTTGTCACAAATTGAATCCTGTCGGATGGATGAATCCTGCAGGAGATGATCCAATGACGTACAGTGAAAGTCCGGATTTCTTGCAAATTCTTCAAGTGCTCGAGCATCTGCAGTCTACGCCTCCGATTGCACAGCAGGCAGCAGAGCAATTGGTGAGGTGGTTAAAGCCCTATGGCAAGTTCTATTCAAAGTACTTCCCAGAGAAGCCCACTCAGATACACCTTCCTCCAAGCTCCTTTGCAGTGGTTTTTGGCAACAGTCCCTGGATGCCCTCCTTGAAGAAGAACAGATTACTCACACTGAACGAAGGATGGATCAGCAGGTCATCCTCCGATGACAAGAAGAATAATGTCAACAACAAGCTTCTGAACACCACCTTGAAGACTTTGCGAAGAACTGGGAGTTTCTACCTTGGGTTTGGGATCGACCCACAGCACGAATCCTGGTGCGGACACTCAAATCGTTCACTGGAAGGCCTGTGGCGATTAGCCTTCAGCATGCCATTCAGTTCCTCATTTGGCTATTGAATATATGTGTTTTGTATGTTTGTTCGTGCACATCAGCTGCAGAAAATGTATACCCAAGAATTCTAGGCCTGGTGATTTTGCAAGTAAGGTTCTACGACGCCCTTGCCAAAGCGTTGAGCAAGGAACACATCAAGCCTGAGGCCGAAGAGGATGACCCTGTAGATGGAACAGAGGTTCGATTCTTCCTGCAGAACGAGCCTTGGCTCTTCCTACCTAGCAGGCGAAACAAGAAGGAAGCTTTCGACAACTACAACGACGCCTACGAAGGTGAGTTTCTTTTGGCTTCGAGTGTAGCTTTCAGGGACCCATCAGGCTTGTTTGGGTGCCATCATGTGACAGAGGAAATGATCAACCTAGCAGCAGAAGCCGTGAGGATGCAGACTGTTATCGGATACTACGCATACGATACATACAAACAACAAAGATACCCAGAGATGAGGACGATTTGCAATTTTTTCGAGCAATGGGGAGTCTCCGACAGAATTGGCTTGGATGCATATGTGGCTGTTTTGCGGCTGATCGATCACAATGTGAGAGCAATGGATCCAGACTATCTTTGGGAGGATGACCATGTGTATCACAAGGTCGTTTGCCGCATCATGGTTGCCTTGAAGACAGGTGCGCATGTGGTTAGGGAAGAGCTTGGCTAGGTGAAGTTGTACACCTTCCCACTCCGATGGTCAACAATCTTGTCCCAATGGTTGGAAATGGTCAGGGTGTTCGACTCAATCCCCGGCCGCCAAAATCCAGGTAGGCTTAAGTAGCTTTTCATTGGGTGTGGATCAAGACTCAACACCCTAAAGGTCAGCATTTGCTGAGTGGCAAACTGCTTTGGTCATGCCCAGACGCTCCAAACGGGTGTTGATCCCTTCAAAACCTAGGGATTTGACACCCCAGACCCCTCCATATATGAGGGTTCATGAGCGTTTGGGTGGTTTATTTGTCACAAGCTGCAAGTTTGCAGGTGACCAGCGGGTCGATAAATATAATGAGTACGAGGAGCAGGAGATGGGTGAGGACTGGCGGATCGACTGCGGCCCACTGTTTGTCGGCAAGTGGAGCACATTTTGTGCGGAGAGATGTGAGAAAGCTCTCCTTCAGAATTCCTGAGATTTCCCAAGACCAATTCAAACAAAGACAACTCAATATGGATGCACAGTCCAAAAAAGCAAAGGCGCTAGTGTCCTCCAACAAACTTTCCTTATTGCCACATTTGGGAACTCCAAACAACCCGGGATATCCCGGGATACTTGTCCAAAAGGATCATCCATTCTTTCGTACCGAAACAGAAACCTCCATTGTCCCAGTGTCGTGAAAGGCAGACCGGCCTAGCACCCCGCACGCTCCTTGTGATGTGCTTGGCACGGGTCCTTGTGTCATGTTGTCGAAACCTCTTGTTTGCTGGGAAACAGTTTCTTTTCTTGATAGTTTGGCCAATGCAGTTTGCTGGGCGTTGGTTGTTGGATATTTTAGACCAACGTTCTGGGAAGGACCAAGACGAGGCGAAGCAGAGCCCTTGGGCCCGGTTCATCACTGAAGCAAAGCAGCTTCGGATTGTTTGGACTGAGTCGAAGAAGTTTCGAGCACCTGTGACTTGTTTGCAAGTCTTTTGATGCACAAGTTGCGAGTTGGGAAGGTTTGCTTTAATTTCTCGGGGGGATCAGCACCTACAGTTACTTGCATTTAGTCATGTCTTTCGTACGCACCAAAGCCTGCATGACACACGCACACACACACACACACACACGGACACAGGTGGAGGTTGCCTATATTGCTGATGGCTCGGATTGGCTTCCTGAAGCTCAAGACTTTGTAACCAACGCGCATAAGGATACTGCTGATGGCTTCAAGCAACTGGGCCTTCAGGGTCCAAACCTTAGAATCGGAAGCTTTGCCTCGTGCGTATTGGATGTAGTGGAGAAGAGGGCTCTACAGTTTAGAGTAGAGTTTAGAGTGTGCTTGACAGCGGGATGCGTTGTTGCATCTCGATCGTATCCCTCGCTCGTAGAAAAGAAGGCTTGAATAGTTCATAAAAGTTCTGTAACGTAGTTCGGGAGCTTATTCTGTATCCCGCTGTGTGTTTGGGGTTCACGTACCCGTCGTTGAGGCTAGAAGCTATCATGCAACTAATACAACGCTATGTAGAGGAAATGCATTTGGACTTCCAGTTGGGACACTTGGCACCCCGTCTAAGACTGGTCTGAAGCGACGCAACATCAGTTGGGCATTCTTCCAGAGTGCTCAGCTGCGGACGAACTGGAAAGCACCCTGGCACGTGCAATCTTTCTGGTGGCAGTCAGGCCCTCAGCAGCCTTGGGGCAACAGAAAAAAAGGTGAAGACAGGTGCTTGAAAGGCACAGCCTTGGAGCAACTATCACCGCTTGAAAGGCACAGTCATCCAGAAGGACCCTAGGAAAAGCAATGTAAAACACCTGCTGGGGATATGCTGTAGCCTGAGAGCATGTATATAACAGGCTTTTCCACTAGCAGCCATTCCAAATTCATCTTCACATAGTTTTGCTTGAAGTCTTCCAGGTCCGCTCTGGTTTCCTCCAGCACGGCAAGGAGTGGAAGGACTTGTCCAAGATTGCTTGGCACTTGGCAGCCGCCACCAAGTTCCTGGTGGTGCGCGGTCAGGACGACGCTCAGAGTAGGTTGCAGGCACACAGCGCGAGCATGCAGAGCGAGGAATGAGTGTTGGTCAGTTGGGCATGTAAATGTGTATCTTCGATGCCAATCTTTTGGCGGGCCTTTGTACTATAGACTCAGGTTGGCGAGCTTTCGGGGACTAGTTTGGGCAAGTTAGGCCATGTGACAAATCGGCATGTCTTGGAAGTCTTAAACTCCTGCAAGGATCATAGTTTCGTTGTCCCCACAGGACATGTCACTGACTCAGGAGACCTTCAGATCTGTCGGGATTACAAAGGTTCAGGTATCCCTTTTAATCTTTTTGGGATTCTGAAAACTAGACTTGGCTGTACGTCCCTGATAAGCAGATGAGGAACTTCTTGAGTGGCTGACACCCTTTCAGGTTCAACCTGTGGTGATGCGAACATTTGAGCCTGCAAATGCTCGTGTCGATGGAACTGCGGTTGTAACCTCGCCGGATCAGCATGTCGTTGCTTACATCAAGAAGCTAGCGACGCAAGAGCGATGCTTGCCAGGATACCTGCAGGGGAAGCTCGGCCAGTTTTTGTAGAGACCCACTGCTTGCTTTGGGCCATGAGATGTTAGAGGGATTTCTTTGACAGATTAACGGAATGTGCCCATTTGGTTGGGATCAAGAGTTTGCAGGTGTTTGCAGATTTGATATGATGGTGCTGAGGTATCAGGAGAAACGCCAACCAGCTCTTGCACTGTGTGCTTACAAGTCACCAACTGCTCTCAGACTGGAAGAGAAGAGCAAGCTGATCACAAAGTGGTTCTTTCGGGCACTGGCCCACTTCACCGAAGTGCCTGAGTCATCTCAACTGGCAAAGACGCTGAAGCAGGTGCAGGAAGAAGTGCAGAGAAGCCTGCATGCTGTCGCAGATTCTTTCAGGAATCAGCGGAAGCAATTGGCAGTGAATGCGAGTGATCATATCTCCAAGTTGGTGCAGGCAGGGGGGTCGCCAATACACGTTGCAGCTATATCCACTTGAAAGTACTCTTCGGACCTTGATGTGGGTTTCCCCTAAGTGACCGTTGATTCAGGGGCACTTCCGGGGTTCTTTTGCATTGCTGTCCAGCCGGGGTCCAGGATGCAGCGAAGCGAGCGAACAAGAAGAGCAGCGTGAAGAAGAATGAATGGACCTGGGATTTGGAGCGTGTCCCTGGGAGTGCTGTGAAGGAGTTTTTGGATGATTTTGTATATTGGCCCGCCGCAGGTTACCAGCCTAATAAAAATAAATGAGGTCACCCCCCGAACCTGTATTTGGGTGTTGTCCAGAATGTTTGTGTTTCTGGGTCGCTCCTAAACCCTCAAAAACGACGCTCATTGTCAAAGAAGCCAAGGCGTGTGAAGTGTGTGAAAACGGAGATCCAACGTAGCATTAAGTTGAATGAAAACGGTGGTGCGTCTAGCATTTAAAGACAACTGTAAAATGGCAGCTTGTTGAGTTCGTTTCTCCTGGCCCTCCCTGAATATGTTGAAGCCAGACCTGAGGGAGTCCAAAGGTCATCGGAAGACCCTGCATCCCTGAAATCTCTGCAAACTGGAAAGGCAACATACATACAAGTGTAGCTTCAAAAATCCGCTGTGATGACTTCACCAATTCCTCCATCTTCACCCCTGGGCAGCTCAAGCTGCACAACGAGGTCTTACAGATCGACTCGACTGATGCCTGGAGACGGCTCCTGGCCGGCCGTGAGTTGCACGACGAGGGGGAGGGCGCCGATCCCGCTGCGGGTCCCGCTGCAGCAGAGGGACTTGCAGAGGCGGAGGCTGAAGCGGCTGAAGTCGGTGAAATGGAGAGTGCACCAGCTGCTAGACATCGTGCCTGGGCAGCCTGGGCTGTGAGATGAAGGTCTTTGTGAGATGAAGTCTCTGGTGGGTGTAAGTGACCAGCATTGGAGATTGGAGATGCCATGTTAGGGTGTTGTAGACAGGTGTGCCAAAGAGAATCACACCAGCGAGTGAGTTCTCAGTTCAATCAGCACACCATGGCTACCTCATCCAGCAACCTCTCACCTTGTCCTTCGCCTTGTTCAAGATCCGAGGCGATACCCCAACTTCACAAAGAGGATGATGGAAAATCAACCTCAAGTCTTTGCTGTTGCAATGGGCGCTGTACAACTGTGTGAAGCAGCAATATGCACAGAATAATCACAGAGTATATCAAGAGTTCTACAGATTCTACACTATGCATCTCTTCCGGATTATTTGAGGGTGATATTTATATATATATATAATTATTCTGTGATTGTTGAGTGCATCAATTTGGAGAGATCCTTCATGATTTTGGGACCGATGTGTGTCCCCTGTTTTTATACCCCACTGCCAGCTCTGTCAGTGCTGAACCCATCAGGTGCGCAGCCTGTGGAGTCTGACAGTGAGGAAGACCTGGAACCGGGGGCATCTGCTTCTCTGGAGAAGTTCTGCCAAAGGCAGATCGAAACCAGGCTAAAACTGACTGACAGACACTTTGTGGGAGCGGATCCCCTGCTATATAAGAGGGTTTTTATAGATCCGGGTTTGGTGTTTGTTTTAACAGTTTACTGTAGTTACCTAGCCGAGGGATATCTTCCTGCACTTTCAAAAGCCCGCTGCACCGAAATCCCGCTGCGTTGACTTGGATATACAAAGACTTCCCAAAACCTTAGGACCTTCCCCTTGACAACCCCATGTCAACTATGTCAGGGTGATGGCAACTCGACAACAGGGATCACAGGGTGGTTTCATTGATTATTAATGGGTTTGGGCGTGTTTCTTTTCTGCTACAAGAAATTTCAGCTTTGGATTCCCCTTGCATGTATGCATATGTATTCTATTGTGTTTGACTGATGTTCACCCGCTTACTTATATATATATATAATTGAGCAGGAGTATAATATAACATCCAAACCGTCCAAACATGCGGAGTCTCGAAGGATGTTGGCAGTGAGTGCAGTTGTACTTTGTGTACTTTTTCAATGTGACAAGCGAACTACGTTTGTAGCAAGAAGTAGACACTGTCGGATGCTTCAGCTCCGCCCAGGAGCGCCAGGAGGAGATGGCCCGTCCACTGGTCCGCCCGGTCTCGGAGGAAGCCGCTGAGCAACTGGCAGCAGGCACCAAGGCACGGCACCCGGCCGGAGCAAAATCCATTTGCCCACTTTGGTTGAAGGACACAAGAGCAAAAAAAGAGCGAGCAATCAAAGTGAGATTGTTGCAAGCTACACAGTGTGTTTTTGTGTTGTGGTATGCTTGGTTGTTTAATGCATGATCCGTACTCTAAAGCGTCACATGTGTGCGTGTCCTTAAGCGGCATGACCCTCATGTGGCCCCTGTGACATAGCGGAAATTCCAGATGTTTGTTTGATAGCCTCGAATTGCTTTCTCAGTTAGTCATTGGAGTCATTGGACACGTTCGAAAGAGTGTCCTCGAAATAGAGTGCTTTGTTTTGTTCATACTGCATGAACCCTGAAGTGACATAGCAGCTCTTGCAAACAGTTCCTATACTGGTATGAGGCACGGGCCTTTGATATTGGCTTGCAACTCAACACACACTAGTGTCTTGGGGAAAAAATGTGTTTGAGTTGCCAACATCTACAAACAGGGAGCAATACAAATCTGAAAAGTTTCCGAAGCCGATCCCTCTTCAGGGTCTGTGTACGCAGTCTCCTCAAAGCTCCCTAGATATAGCCACTTGGTTTGGTGTTTTCGTGCCCACACCCTGGCATGAAGCCTATATATGCCTATATCCCAGTCTCGCATAGAACCGAATATCCATTGGCTTTACGAGGCACGTGCAGCCACGGCTTTTACGTCCTTCGTGCCACACGGCTTGCCACACGGCACAGATGAGGGAGGTACCGGCACTTGGGCAGGACAGACCACGCACAAGGGTCGTTCCGCTACGGGTGTGCGGAGCACAGTGAAGCAAGCGTCCATGACAAAGGGCGATACATCATGATTCATCCAATCATCTGAAGTGGGACTCCCTGGCAGAGCGCCATGGTTGGCCGAGAGCTGCTCGAATGTGGTTCCGACGGGACAGGCAATTGTAGTTCACATGTTCAGCCGACAAAAGAATAGAGTTTAAGTTGGTCTTCCCTACCTGGCGCGGGACTTACCTTGACGTGCACTTCGACTTGCATCTTTGGAGTGAATGCACCTGAAATCCATTTCCTACAGGTTCCACCACAGAACCAACAGAAAAACACCAGTTTGCCCAGCCATCCAACCTCAGGAAATGGCGGTTTCGCCCACCAGGGAGGAATGACAGAATGAGTCGGGTGCAGTGGTGCTCATACGTTTTCACCACCGCACCAGTGATTCAAGAACGTATGTGTTTTAGGGGAAAACACACACGAGAGCTGTCGAGAGATAATGACAGCATGACGTGAAACATGAAAATCGGATCCGGGGCGACAAATCCGGAGGCAAAGCCCACACAAAGGAACAATGGTCGCAGGTCGAACATCCATGTCTTAATCTTAAAATATCTTAAATTGACTAGATTTCACTGAGCATGTGCCTGAGAACGTCTATTTGGGATGTAACCAAGATACTGTCACAACAACCAGAACCATCCATGGATTTCCATGCAGGGTTTGTCAGCCCTCTAGATCCTCTAGTGGACATGGTCCTTGTGGACAGGACAAGCGGGCCAAGAAGGCACCCAAGAAGGCACTTCTGGCGGCAAGGGACCGGTTGACCCCTGCATTAGCGGATGGCACCACACTTCGCAGAGCAACGGGAATGAAGGAGCCCTGGCCATAAGATGCCTTGTTGTTGCATAGCAAAGGGTTCCCATATATATATATAGTCACGGGGGTCTGGGTGCTGGACCTGTGTTTGCGTCGTGTGTGTCGCGTCGTCGTCGCCTCCTCGTCATCATCTGGTCGCTAATTCCCTGACATTGGGGGAAGCTTTTGGAGGAGCTTTTGGATGGAAGCATGACGTATCATGACGTGTCAGATTCGTGTGAAATAGGGTGGAAACGTATGGAAACTTAACATGTTGAAGTGTGGAGGATGATTTTGCTACACGGGTGCACCGTTTTGTGAGATCCGCAGTTTCCTTCGCTGTGAGAGTGGCGTTTAGAAGGTGGTCTGTTTGAGGTGTTGGATGTCGCTCTGACAATGGGATAGTGAAGCAGCTCCTGGGAGCTGTGGCCTCAGAACTGGCAACTTTGGAGTGCAAATGCGATGGGGGACGTGGCCGAATTACGTTTGTGATGTCGCTGTGCCATGCGGTGTTGCGCGGCCTGGCAAAAGTGTGTTCGCGTAAGTCCGTGCCATTGGGAGGGGAGCGGGGTGATGAGCGGGGTGATTGGCGGATGATTGGTGTTGTCCTGGAAGCCTGGCGCTACATTGTTGCATCTAGTCTGTGGCACACCACACGAGAGTATCCCACAAGAGCTTTCCGCTTTCCGTGTCCCACAAAGGTCTCAACAAGAGTGTCCCACAAGAATCTCCCACGAGAGTGCCCCATAAGACACAAGAGTGTCTCTGAAGAGTGCTCCACAAGAGTGTCCCACAAGAGTGCCCAGAACATTTTTCCAAAAGAGTGTCCTGCAAGAGCCTTCCACAAGAGTGTCAAACAATACTTGGCAACTTGTTTTCAAGTGCGTGTGTGCATTCGGGCTCTCGGGTTCCATCGTGCTTCGATGTTGGCTTGTTTGTCAATGCATCTGTGCTCGGATAGAACTTGGTCATAAAGTCTGTCGACGTTGCATGATGGAGGTCCCAGCGCATGCTGATGACCTACACTCTCAAATATACTTGGGATCGGTAGACTTGTATTTTGTTGGTTTCCTGATGCTCCCCAACTCTTTCAGGAGAAGAGGGGGCAGAAGACCCGTCTCAGCAAGCGGGTGCAGCAGTTGACTCATGGGGAGCGCGACATGGAGGAGGTCAGAAAGATGGAAATGGTCCCGCGGCTGCGGAGAGAGGAAAGACGAACGGTCTGATGGCAGAAGTGGAAAAAAACGTTCCCTTGGATTCCAGGATGACGAGTGTTCCAGTTGAAGCTGTACCATTTTTTTTGTGAATGATTTTTCAGAACCCTAATCTGTGGGGTTCCCGCCTCCAAATTTGTAGATTGTTTTTTCAGACCTGGCTTACCGCGTGTGGTACTCTTGAAGAGTTGGCACTGGCACCGAAGGCGCTCGAATCCTGCGTTTGAGAACGGTTGTCCAATCACCTCGTCGACCACGTTTTTTGCACGTGACACCAAGATGTTCATGATGGGCGCCTTTAGATGGAGAAATAATATTGTAGGTAGGCGAATGTAACTAGTTGATTTTTCCCAAAGTCAATCACTTTGGGACACCGTTAAGAGCGGGATTCTGTCCGTCATGGGTTGGGTTTGGGTTCGGTCTTCGGTCATTTCATCTGTTTTGTCGAGTTCGGAGGAAGTTTTACTTGGATCCGCATGGAGGGCCTGGCCCTGGGTGGGTTCCCTGAGCCAGATTTCAAGCCCGTCATGGCACCAGGATACTGATCGGTTGACCTACCACATCCTACCGGTCAAGCTGCATGGGTGTGTGTTTTGATAGGGAGACCCCAACCAATGGGTTCTTTTGCCTTTGCGGTTTCATAAACGGAATGTACGCTGGTAGTGGCTACTCTCAGCCTTGCGTAAGGAGCCTCAATGCCTCAGAGGCATAAAAGTAATTCTACAGAAGGCAAACATTGGTCTATGTTCCTTCTTTTAGGGAGTCTTTGCGAGGTCTCCCTATATACTTTAATACACACCCACATGGTGTTGGGGCTCCAGGTTGCTGAAATGAACTAGTGGTGATAACACTGGTGAGTGGGAGAAAGAATAACAGTGGATCTCCAAGTGTATTTCTTTTGTGAAGATACGGGTGTGTGAAGCCATGTTCAACTCATTCCAAAATCGAAGAAATCTCGATTTTCCCCCGGTGACTTGTGCGACTTCTGAGGTGCTGCCGCGACCAGCGCAGCTGGATCAGCACCCGGCGGCCACGGCTCCGGCCCGAACGCGGCAGACGCTGCGGCAGACGCTGCGGCGGGACCGACGCACCGGGCACCCGCGGGCGGCGGGAGCCGGTGGACCCGTAGCGGGCAGGGCACAAAGGCGATGAGGGCACGGGAGGGTCGAGAGGGTTTGAGAGGGTGATTGAGCGTTTGTGAAGTGCAGAATTGGGGAGCATGTGGATGCAGATGGTGGACAATCCCATAGTGGACTACAGTGCATAGTGACGTGGATCTAAGAGTTTGACCTTCAGAAGTGATCGTTGTTTACAACTCTTGTGGAATGTTGAGATTGGTTCCCTGTTGAACCGGACAGTTCGATCCACGCATCATCGCGTTCGATTGCGACCGCTGAGAAGGCGACCTCTGGAGATGCGCAGGATCGATCTGGGAGAGGCACGTGTGCACGGGAGGGGATGAGGGGATGCTTAGGAAAACAACCCACGCCAGCAATGTCATTGCCAGCGTTGATATATAAATCCGCCCGCACCGAAGGTGCTCAGGGCGTGATCATCCGGATGGCATAAACAACTGTAAGGTACAGGTTTAGGGGGGGCATTTTTTGGCCAAAACCATGTGGTTTTGATAGGTCACGACGGCGGACTTCAAAAAACACTTTTTTGTACAGCACGGAATGGACTAGTTCGTGCATGCGCCCGCCCGGAACCGGCAAGAGAAAAGTGGGAAAAAAGAACTGTGGTTTTTGACTTTTGGTCTTCGATTTTCGGTTTTGAGACACATATTTTTTCCATGTGTCTTGTCGGGAGGCCGGGAGGCCAGATTTTGTCATTTCGGAGCTGTTTAGGTGACGGTTTTCGCCGTTTTTGTTGGGCAGAAACATTGTTTTTTGTATGTGTTTGTAGTGTTTTTGTACATTGCCGAGGCTTAAGCTCTTTGCGCGAAAATGTAAAAACCCTCGCAGTGTTTCTGGCGACCATGTTGTTGAAAACGTCGCAAATTGCGGTGTTTTTTGACAGCAGGTTCAAAAGCACTGTAAATAGCGGTGTGTTGGGCCACTGCAAGCTCAAAAACATCGCTATTTGCAGTGGTTTCTGCATCACAGAGCATAAAAACACTGTAAAATACGGTACGTAGTGGCGTTTTTGGCAACGTCAACCTCAAAAACCTCGCAATTTGCCGTTTTTGTTGGGCAACTGCTTTATGGCGGTGCGGGCGGACCTTGCCGCGGAGCGGCGTGAATATAATTGTATATATAGGTCTCAATACATGAGACTGTCAGGGAAACGCCCCACTAGAGAGGATTCGGTTGATCAGAAATGCAGGAAGTCTTTGTTTGCTTTAGTAGGGAGAATCCCTCAGTTTGCACTGTGTTTTAGGCCTGTGGGGTTGGCTCAATGTGAAATGAACTATTGACTCCACCAGCGTACCCAAATCCATTGCAAATACGTATAGATTTGAGTGTCCCATCAAAATGTTCCCACATCAACGGTCCGAAGTGTGATTAAAACACCCTCCTATTCGGGCTCAAAAGAACCTTCCGTGAGTTTGGATCCATGAGAACAAGTTAAACACATGAATGTAATGTTTAAGTGAGATGGGTCGCCAAATTTGAGCCATGTTCTCTTGTGTGACTAGGGACCGTGTCAAAATCACGTGCTTTTAAACAAGAGATCCATAGGGACTTCGGAGATACTGCGAGACGTTTCAGGAACTGTGCAAGATGTCTCGCGGCTTCAATAAATATGAAGATATGCCACGCAGGAAAATCATCTCAGCAGATGGGTGAAAAGATATCACTGATACCACTATGCTTAATTCTGGAGGTGAGGATTTGAAGGGAACATGTATGTGGCGATTTCTTTGCTGGTTGTCCAGTTTGGTGGCTAGGGTATAAGAGCCAATCTTTGCTCCAGCGCCAACTGGAAGCGTAGCCGACGCAGACGTCCCCAAATAGATGTCTTGATTCTCACCAGTTTGCTTGTTCTATTTCAGTCTCTTCCAGTCACACCTTCGACAAACATGTTTTCAGGGAGTTCACAGCCGAAGTCAACTGTTCATTGCCTGGTGCCCGATGACCCCAACACACTGGGCGAGGCATTCCCGTCAGCTTCTGGATCTTCCTTCCGTCACGTATATAACTTCAGGCCTGTATATACATATATTATATTATATACATGTACTGTATAACATGATATAACAATATGATATACACCTGGATCCCCTGTGTGCCATATACCCAGGTGAGTACTGGAATGTTGGATTATGGGACTGTCAAAGATCAAAGAAGGAATCACTTCCGCACAGGTGTTGGTGTCGGACTTGGCTCCGGCAGCGTCCCCAAGACTGGGGCACCACTCACGCGGAGTTTGAGCGCTCCGGAATTGAGCAGGAGCGTTGAGCTTGAGCGCTTGTCATCTGCTTGTTGTCGTGCTGATTTCACAATGACTTGAAACCTTTCAGCACATCCTTTGGATAGACGGTGCAAACAAATAGCGGAGACCGTCCATGGCGGACTCCTGATGTTGAGGTGGTCAAGCACCAGTGTTCTTGGGCGGCACTTGTAGGATGCGTCCAGAGGTAGGTCCTGCTGTTTTAGGCATGTGTGGTCACATTCACCAGTCTTGCTTCACATCGTATGTTTTGGTGGAGCCACTACCTTGAGACCTCAGACTTGCCAACTGTAATGACAATCAAGCGACAGAAACATAAGGTGCGCAATAGCTTGTTTTTCCCTACCATGTCCCACCTTAGAAAAAGAAAATTTTATTAAAGCTTGGTCAGTCCTAAGCACGGGCTCAAAAAGTACATAAACCACAACCACAATATGTGACTTTCTAGAACCCTTTTGTGCGCTTGCCACCATGGAACACAAAGACAGGAACAGATTACAGGGAACCCTCTTTTGCTGATCCTCCGGTTCTGGGTTCGAGGTGTTCGGAGAGTGTTTGTTTCCCAGTCGTGGTGTGCGTTTTAATGTAGGGACGAGAAACGGACTGGTAAAAGTCAATTAGACAACCAACCCACTGAACCACCACACACCAAGGTTCTCAGTCATTCAAATAGACGGATTGAGCACACGTTGTGGTGAAGACAATATTTTGGGTGGAATTCTGCTTTTCGCGTGGCAACTGTGAGTCCATCTAAGCCGATGTGCTGATGTGCACAGGAGTGTTCCGCTTTGTGAGCGGCTTCCTTTGGCGGACTTGAGGGATGGTGGGATTGCAGCCCAGGCGGGTCGGGCCGGTGATCCCGCAGACGGATTAGAGCCGTTTGATCGTGGTGTCACCATGATGAATGTCCAAGGTGGGGTGGCTTGACCATGCTTGACCCCCTGATCAAACAGTCATTTCAGCCAGTACTGAATGCGCCCAGACAGCTGAAAGGATTGTTCCAAGACATTTATATTTTTCCCCCCTCCTGTGAAGGGGAAGGGGCGGTGCTTCGCCACTAAAGTGTGGGTGTGTGGGGGGGGGGGCGATGCAGTTTGGTTTGCGTAATATGTGGCAGATGTGATTATTGTGAAAAGAGAGAGAGAGAGAGAGCATTGTTGGTTGAAAGGGACCGCTGTTGTTTTTTAGATAACATAATAGTAATAAATACATCCCGAAAGCGACGACTTGGGTATCGCAAGAAGAGGCGCATGCTCATGAAATCCTGCCACGCATCACCACCCACCACACCAACAGACACTGCCACCGCATCACCAGCACTGCTCTTGCCGCGACCACCACCACACAACGTCCACGGTTTGTCTGGTCTTGCTGCCTGGTTCCTCTGCACTGGACGGACCTTCATCCTTGCTGTGCACGTCGTTTCTTGCTGTCTGCTGTGGTTTCTGCACTCTGTGCTGATTCTTGCACCACCACATGACCACACAACCACCAGCACAACCACTGCCACTGCATCAGTGCAAGGAGCACAGATGAAGTGCAGAGAAAGGAAGAACCAGCAGAGAAACCATGCTTGACCCCTTGCTGTGGTTTCCCTGCTGAGTCTTCCTCTTTGCTTCATTTGTGCTGATCGTATCTCTCTCTTTAGGTGACTTGTGCATCCTCTGCACACATAGCCTTGACCCGTGCTAAAAATTGTCTTTATTTGTGCTGATCCTCACAGATTTTAGTTTCACCAATCTCTGGCTCTCTCAGCCTTTCGAGATGTGAACCGTGCCTTGCTTGGTTGTTTGGTTTTGGTTTTTTTTGTTTGGTTGGTTTTGTGTTTGTTTCTTTTTGTCCTTGACGGCCGGTTCACTTCTTGAGTGCAGGAGTCAACCCGGTCAAAACCTTTTAGACCTGAACCTGCAGCTAGGGCGAGTCGGTTAGACGCACTTAGTCCATGTTGGTCCTCACTCCAATAGTCACTACACTTGCATGATCATGTTGAGAGATTGCTAGGGAGCATCATCCACTATCATCAGTGTTGATTGGGGAAAATTCTAGATACAGGAGAATTACTCCCTGGTCTGCCCGTTTGCCGGTTCAGTGCCTAGCAAGGACCTCTACATCCGCCTCTTGAACCTGGGAAAGCGGACAAGGGGTGATCCTAGTTTCTACTGTGTGAAGCGGCTGTAGAGGTTCAAAACTGTCCAACATATCCCATGTTCGCTGTTCACACCATCGGCGCATCTTGTTGTCCAGGTTCGGGCAAGCATCATCCAAACAATGCTGGAAGGAGATCTACCCAGCCATTGGAGCTTAGACCCTGCGGTGATGGAAATATTGTGGAGTAACCCGGCTGAAGGTTCGATGACACGGCTGTCTTTGTTCTATTCTGCTTGGGTTGCTTGGGGAAATGGTCAGAAGCAACGTGGAAGTCTTTTTTGGATGGGCAGCAGAATGTTCTTACTGCGTGAAAGGAACGGGAAATCGGTCATGCCGTGGGATACTGACCCTCCACGAACGTTGGAGCCACGAGGGCCTCATAGACAGGTCAATGCATCTTGAATGCTCATGGACAGTTCTGCATGAGCTCGAATGGTTCGGAGGGTCGGAACAGAAAACAGCCAAAGGGTCAACACTTGGCCCCCAAATTGGGAGATCCGTTGAAGAACCATCACAAATTTGCGCGAGCTTGGCCAACTGCGGCCGGTTGAGGTCCCCAAAGCAATAGCTTCATTGTGTCTAAGACATGTTTAAAGGAGATTTGCTGGTGATTTAATCCAATTGCTAAAGCTTCAAAATGAAGGAACAAAGGATATGGGAAAGCACGGACAGATGTGCTTGCAGACTTCTGGAGTATCACAGATGAATAGAGATGATGGAAAAGGCCTCAGGATCTCAGGGACCTCCAAGAGGGTTTCCTCAGAAGTACTTGGTTTCTGCGTCCTTTGGACCTGGGGCCTTTGGACCTGAGACCTTTCTTCCTGTCTTTCTCTTTGTGACAAACATGGCACCTCGATAGCTGGGAAAACCAGCTAAAGGCTGCTAGTCAATGGAAAGCCATTGGAAAGGTTGGGTGTTTGATCGTGCCGCACAGCCCATATGGAACCCATGACCTTTGTTTTGAGGGCCACGTTGGGTGGTCGGTACTCCAAACACCGGCCAACCTGGTTCCAGCTTGTGTGTGTTTGTTCATGTTTGATGCGGTCAAATGTATCAAACCAGACCAGACGACGCCGGAACTGAAGTTGATCTTTTCTGGGATCTCTCAAGATTGGCAATGCAGCAGTTCCAGTCAAAGGGGTTGAGGGTACAGACCGCCGTGCAGCGAAGAAATCGCGCTGAGGAATCTTTCACGAAGGAAAGGCAGAGTCTTGTCTCAACAGAGCAGCTTCAGCACAGCAAAAAGATCAAGTATTTATTGGAGGTTCATGAGTTCAACTCCACAAGTTTCATGGGGATCGTCTCCACTGGCTGACAGCCCAAAAGTTGTCACAAACCGCATGCAACCGGTGGCAGGTGAATGTTGAGATGAATATGAAGTCGCACTTTTTGATTAACAAGCTCTAAGGAAAAAGAAAGGAGTAAAGGAATGAGTTTGGACAAGAAAGAAACAACGAATAAGAAATAGAGAAGAGTATGGTGCAAAGGCGGAAGGAAAAGATGACAAGGAAAGCAAGAAAGAAACCGAAAACAAGGAAAGAGTACTTGTTTGCCGACCTCCTGCTTTATAATTAGGTAGGCGCCTACTTAATCAAGTAAGGGAGTAGTTCGCTACTAGCTACTAGTTAGCTTCTACTTACTGAACGCAGGATAGCTGACGCTCGCACTAATTAATGATGTTGTTCCGAGTTTTTTGGAAATGTAACAGATCGAAACTTTGGACGCAAGAGAGGAATACCCGCCGATGTTTGTTGTGGGTGATGTCCATTCATACATATCACATGTTCCGTCACGTCCTGAGTTTTATGGTTTGGCCAACAGTGCGGCACAGCAACCGAACCAGTTTTGCGAGACCTACCTACACTTGTCATTTGAATAATAAATGATGTGCTGAAAACCAGAAGCATGAGAATCTCCTTGACCTGCTCCTGTACAATGCAGAAGACATGTTGACTGGTCAAAGGAATGAAAGAAAACTCGCACGCCACATCCATACCTGGGAGAAGGGTGGCAAGGAGACATGCACGGGGGAAGAACTGACAAGCTCACCAAGCAGGACGAACCAACAGTTCTGCTGACTTCGGAAGTCCGGAGATGAACAGTGGATTCACTCCTGTAAGAGTCATGGAAGTGAAGTTCACCACCTGTTTGAAATTCGGCCTTCATGGTCATCCGAACTCAGGACCCATGCATGGCCATGCCATCCGCGTATCCATGAGTGTCTTTCAAGTCCCGAGTGTTTCGTGCTTTCGGCACATCAAGATCCGTCAAATCCGATGCCCAGGTCCTGAATGCTACTGAGGTGCATCGCCAGATGGACCCCGTTGAGGAATGGGCCAGGTCCTCAGACCGGTCAAGAACTTTCACGATCAACAGGGTGACACATAGTGAACAGGTGAAATCCGGTGAAATCAGGACAACTCTCCAAAAGTCTACAAACCAGATACAGTATATGATATATCATGAGAGATTTTGTCGCACATTCTGCTTCTGCACCAGTCAGGGTCACTGGAACTGTGCAGGTCACCTCCTTGGGGTTTCGGCAAAGGCTTTGGAATTCTGGTCAAAGTTAGAGCCTGCTGCATAAAGTGTTGAATGAAAAGAAGTTTGCGGCTCGAAAGGTATCTTATGATGGACCTTATATATCACCCAGAAGTAGTGCATGTTTGTTCCATGCGAACTGCGTGCAGCCACTCTGTTTTTTGTCAATTCTTTGCCTTTTGAGTCGAGGGCAGACCATTTGGCTGTTTGGCAATGGAGATGGGAAACAGCATGTGTTCCATTACCAGGAAGGCCTTACCAACCATCATCATCCACTGTTGCTGGAAATGGGATTGATATACCGATATACCCAATCAATACCGATGTTTGGAAAGCCACAATCTGGAGCTATCTCTTCGAGCCGCCTCCACTCCTGGAACCTGAAGCTGGAAAGTCCACGCAGGGACGATCCATGGTGCTTGGATCTTTGTCCCACCCAAGTGACTTTCTCACAACATTCCACATGACATGATTGAGATTCAGGTGTGATACTTTGCAGGCAACCCGTTGTTCCAAAATGACATCTTTGGAGGGTCCACGGAGTCCACGGTGCCCTTTTACGATCGCAAAAACGAGCAACGAAAGGATGATACGCATGGTCTTGAGAGGCACCCCAAGAAGACTCGTGCGCATAGTATTATGAAGCGCTTTCTTCTCACATGGATTCTATCCACTGGGACCAAGTGTTGAAACACGTTGACACCCCTGCACATCCGAAGCCCCTGCATGGACATCGTCATTGGAGCAGAACTGCCCCAGGTTCGTGTGGACAAAGTCTTCTTTTCACACGAAAACATCAGCCAAGTGCCACTTGGGCGAAAGCTTCTTTCGGTGACCTTCCCAACAAAACTGCCCATTGAGTGGAACCAGCACCTCTGAAGATTTGTTTCCTACCAGTGGTTCAGGCATTTGTTGGTTTTCGGGTGCAAGCAAGCATAGAAGACGGTACATGATTTGAAAGTCTGAGCTCGCCAGGGCATGCCTGGAAATGAACCACTTCAACTATGCAGAAATTCAAGAGGTGAAGCAGTGGGAGGGTTGACGTGGCAACATCATGAAACTACAGATATATTTTGTTGCAAAGATACCCTCTAAAGAAGCAGCTAAGAAACCACAAACAAGCGATCAAACAAACAAAGCATCCACAAAGGAGCACATATAGAATCTAGAAGCATCCACCAACTATCCATGCATGTAAAGATAAACCAAAAGAAAAGAAATAATCAATCACAAGTAGCCAGTATAGGCTCACATCCTGGATGGCAATTGTAGTGGGGAACTAGAGCTTCTATCCCTGGATGTAAAGTCTTTAAAACCACTTGTTACTTATCATAGCAACTGGGCTAATTGACTGGGCTTTGCAAAGCAGAAGCAGCCTCAAGACCACTAGGGCCCATCAGTCTTGGGTCAAACTGAATCATAGCTCCCAGCGATTCTGAGAACTGAAGACCAGACTGAGTTTCTGAACTTTCTCGGGTGCTCACCCCTTCTGCTCACATGCCCCTGCCAAGCGCAGAACTGGTTGAGAACCTAGAATCTACAGACATGCAGTTTTCCTTCGGACTTCGGGCGAAGAGTTGAAATCTCTATGGAAATCTCGGATGAAATCTGCCCAGGTTTAGCAATGGTGTGTCGGTGCTGTCCTTGGTGGAGGACCGTGCTGTTCTTGGTGCTTCTGGGATTTTTGGCAGTGCGCAATGTGTACTCCAGACAAGGCACCACCAGTAGCTTCATGGAGATACCAAAGGAGAGGAAGGAAAGGTCCCAAGAAGAAAAAAGCAAACCACTGGAAAAGTGGTGTGTGGGTGTGTGCGTGTTCTCGTGATGAGTAGCCCGGAGCTGCTAATCTCAGGGATTCCAAAAGTATGAAGAGCGTGTCCACTTGTTCACTGCTGACCATGTTAAATCATCGCTTTTTTGCTTGTCAGTCTTGTCAGTCAGTCACATTTTTCATAGGTTCGGTCCTGATTGGCAGAGGATTTGCTTTTGACCTGCATAGATACCACTGCCTTGTTTGGGGTGAGCAATAACACGATAGCCCCAGTATGATGTACATCTAATGGACCACCAGGTATTCAGGTGTACAGCGGAAATTCAAATCACGGGGTTTTCCGTGGTTTTGATCCTGTCCCGCATTGAGAATGATGTTGGAAGGAAGCAACAGTCGGCCAGCACCTCATTGGATAACTAAAAAGCTGATGGTACAGGAAGACGCCGGGCCTAGTTAAGCCTTGCCAAGACATGTAGGACATCACTTCTTTCTTGGCCACTCGTCCCGCTGGTCGTGTGGCAAGGATTTGTGGCAAGGAAAAAGCAACTTCTCAGATCCCCGCTTGCGGCTGGAGGTGCTGAGGGTGAGGGATATGGTGTTCCTTTTGTTTGCATCTTTTTTTCGGAGGGGCTAGCAAAAGTAAGGCAACAAGTAGGGAGTCGTTACTAAGCTTCAGTAGCTTCCTAGGCTTGGACACAGCAGGGTTCGGGATTTTTCAAGGAGTTTTCAACGCTGCGGGGGGTGCTTCCTTGAAGAAGCCTAAGCCTTAATGAATTGGTTTCTAATGTGCTTTAGGACATCGCAATTGTCCGCATCCATGAAAAAGGGACAGCTGCAAAGGTATCGTATGTGAGGAATTGTCAAATATGGAAACTCAAGAAAGGAAACTCTACTTGTATATAAGTTGAGCGCTGCAGATGTTTGACTAACACCCCTTTGAGGAATTGAGCGTAACTGTTCATGTCCTAGAACCCTGGTTGTTATCGCAAAAACAACTGGTAGAGTCGAGCACAATGAAGCTCGACTCGGATGGTCAATCCAAGTGGAGTTCCCTGTTGAAAAGGAAACTTGTCAGTCCAATTTCTGCAAGCCCACACACGTGACGATTTGGGGATATTAACGACCAGTAACCATCAATCCAGCCGAGATGTTCGGGGAAGCCACCCAAGTGGAAAATATCCCATTGTAGGGAACCCACAAACTACAGATAAAGGGTGCAGATGGGTGCAGCCTTTGCAAGGGACACGCCTTAAATTCAACGGTGTGATCAGTGTAGCAGCCCTGCTCAGAGTGTCGCGATATATCGCGATTGGTTTCCGCAAAGACGTTCACATTTTGGCAGGCTGAGAGCTGTATAGTGGAAAGGCACATCGCCACCAAGAACCGGAAAGGAAGGTACCGCAGACTTGTTTTATATAATATATCCTGTTCGCGTCAAATGGGTCCCATTTCGCTCGGGGTGAGGATGAGCCCTTAAGTGAAAACCCCCTGTGACGCAAATCGCAGCACTAACGCAGGTGGTTTGCTACCAGCACCGAATTCACAGTCTTTGCAATCGCCGCCTTTATGCCCCTTGGTCAGCCCGAGAGCGTGGTTTACTCGGTTCTCCTTCCATGACATTGTTTGCTCTTTCAGGATATAGAACACATACCATATTAGGAACATTCAGGAACTATATATTAGTGTTGGTTCCATTAAACGTACCTCACCAGACCTTCTCAATAAGCATGCATTGTAATTGGGAGTTGGTTCAGTGTATAAGTCATTGCTGAAGCTATATATATATATAGGAGCAGCTGCTATTGGAACATGGTTTGCTTTACATAAGGGGTTTGATGACTACTTTATTTAGAACAGTGTTTTGAACAGTGTTTTTGAGTTTCTTCTAGTTCTTCTGGCATTATTGTAGCTTTAAATCAGGGTGTTGTTCGTCGACATCAGAAACTGGCTGTCATTCTTTGGCAGGGTTGGCTTCGGGAGCCGAGATGCCTTGGCCATCGGTTTTGGGGCTATCCCGGTTTGGAAGTGAATAGGGAAAACACATGTGAGTATGCTTGACTACGGTGATGATGAGGGCACAGTGTTGCTGGTCCTCACGATGCAGCTTTTCAACCGGTGACCCACAGATGGGTGGCAAAATGATGAGCTCCAAGATAGACTGCCGACAAGGGTGTATGTATATCATTGTATACCTAGATTTGGCTGAACTGACTGTCACCGCACACTTTCTAGGAAACGAAATTCAACATTCACGAATGAATATGATGCAGCTAGGGAGGTGACTCTTTGCTGGACACTTGCCTGGTCCTAGGCTTCAGGCACAACAGCTCTTGCCATTTGTTCCAAGTTCAGTTGTAGCTGCCCTTGACCACCCATTCTGCCGACACACCGACAGCAGCTGTGACAATCACATTCTCAAGTAGAAGAATAAAAACAAAGCCAAAAGAATCATGGGTGAAAAGTCACATCATGTTTTTTGTTGGGCGTGACTTTGTTCTGCAATTTCAGCGCGAATCCCAAGAAATATGTAGAGGCCTCCCTTACAACAAGCCCGCTGTGCACTAGCATACCCCGAGACTTGAGGCCTTCAAAGAGTACCAGAAGCGCCTGCAGAAGTATGATCGAAAGGTGGTTAGGGGGCTGTCCGAAAAGATGCAATTATACATATATATATATACACACACACATGTGTGTTTATTGTATCGGATGATTCATTTAGATCTCGCATTGCTTTTTGGGTTTGGTGTGTCACGCGTGGACAGTGGCATTTATTTAATGTAGTGATTCCCCTCATCTAAGTCGGCTCCAAGCTGATAGAAGCGGAAGGGACTTGATGCCTTTTTCGTGCCCACGCCACAAATATTGTTTACTGCTGTGTTCATGCTGCAAACATGGAGGTTTGCCGGGCGTTTGTAGTGGCTTCTATGTTTGCCAAAGATGCAGATCGGTGAATTAGTGACCGAGAGTCAAGCGGCTTGAAACATGTTGCCACATGGTCCGACAGGTGGGCCATGAGGCAGATCGGAGGTGAGATGAGGTTTTCGCGATTTTGCGACCCCGAACCGAAAGTCTGCATGTAGCTGCTTTGCCTTTTTCATGCATGAAAAAGACAGAAAGAAAGCTAGGTCGAGAGGTCTTTAAAGAAAGAATTGCCAAAAGATATGCATTTTGATGTGGAAATGTTTGCTTGCCTTCTTACTTCACTTGTCAACAGCCCAGGGTCAACACTGGACCAATAGAATCCTTTCAGCTTGAAATGGGGGTGCCCACGTTGAACAACACACAGAAGACGGAAGGGCTAGGTACTGCTGTTCACCTTGCATGGCTCCGACATGGAAAAGAAGCAGACGAACATCACAGATAGACGTTCAAGCAAAAATTATGAAAACTAAATATATGTCGCCACACCGAAGACCGGATGAGGCCTTGTTAGGCTCTATTCGGCGTTGCGGGGATGCCTTGTTAGGCTCCGCCGGTGCAGATCCACGTGCGGCGCTGGCCTTTGGATCCCATCACCGCTAAGTGACGAGATACCAAAGCGAGAGGGGTTGGAGCTGGATCTTTTTTTTCTCTTGAGTCAGAAAGGATCCATGTTTGGGACTTGTACCCGATATTTTTGCTTTTAATGTCGTGCCATGCTCTTCTTGATTTGCTGTGTAGAACTTGGAGAGTCAATATGGAACTGTGCAAAATTGTGTAAAACCATGGCAGCAGATGTTCATTTTACAAGGTTCAGCAGTTTGTTCTTTGTGTTGCTGTCTAAAAGCACAGGGTCATCTTGAGCATGGGTCCACATGCCTTCGGAACTAAAAAGATGCGCACTAAGGTTCGTTTTGGCCTACACCACCACCTGCCAAGGGCAAAGAATTGCACTTCGGCCTTTTCCTCGCTTCACAGTCAGGACCGGCAGAAGAAGCTCTAAGCGGTGCAGAAGCAAGTGTAGCGTGGTGGGAAGCTGGCTCATTTTCTGTAATGCAAAAAATGGAAGGAGCATCCAATTCTTCAATTCGAGGCAAATTCCCGGCAACCTCAATGAACACACGAAACCAGTGACCCACCTGAAGTCTTAACCCGTGGGCGTTGTCCCATCCATCCACCCAAGGAACATCAACTTTCACAAGAAGTAAGGACAGGGGCCAGTGGCCAGTAAGGATAATCTTGATCCATTTCTTGGCGAGTGGCCGCTTGGTGCAGGAGACCAGAGGCTCAGAAGGCCGCAAGTGCGCAGGACGGGGAAGGCGTTTTTGAATTTGTTGCACAGTCGAGGCTGCAGACCTGCCATGAAAAAGGTTCTTGTTTTGGGTGTAAGAGCAGGAATGTAGCGTGCTTGCGGTGATAGCCGGAACTTTCAGAAAGTTGGACTCAAGACTAAGGCTTGTGGCCAAAAGCTTGCTCGTTGTCCATCAGGAATCGAGGTGCCACAAGTGTAAGGTGTGAGTGTACGAAAGCTCCAACGGCCTGGGTTGTGGATGAATGGATGTTGCTTTTTGATGGATTTGACAGAGAACGCGAACCCACCCCAGCCACTGGGTCTTCAATCTGCATGTGTTTTGAATATTGAATTCCTGAGTGACAACAAACATTTGATCCTTCAACTGTTTTACAACAAGTTATCACCAAACAATTTGCCTCTCAAACCTGATAAAAGTGGTTTCGATCATCACCTTCATTGAAAGCATTGCCAATGAAGAAGATCCACAGTACTGCTGCGTGCCAGGAGTCAAGACCGGTCGAGGATGACTGGAGAGGGGCGGACCCCTGGGCCATGGGCAGTGACCCATGGTCGCTTGCGCGTAGCTCACAAGCGTAGCCGAGGCAAAAAAAAATGGAATCGGTGCTTGACGTCGTTTCTTTGCAATTTTGCAGGAGGCTTGCCTTAAAAGAATCATTAATTTTTAATATTGTTATTTAATATTGTTATGTCTATAAATAATGTATGTAATAATATAAAATAACGAAAATAATATATATAAATATATTATGATATTAAATTTAAATATATTTATTAATATATGGGGTATTATAATTATTATTTAACGTAAATTCGATAATTGGATTATATATTGGGGGACTTACATTATAATATTTATTAATAATATTGATATTATTTATATAATTTATAATTATTTATATAATATTATTATATTATTAATATGGTATTGTTGGGGTAATTTTGGGCTATATTGGTTTATAAGGGTTTTGATAAGCGCCATTTCTAGTTTAAGCGTTCGCGGCCGTGTTTGGGGGCCATCTGCTATGGATCTTGTGGTTTTCCTTCTATAGATGGGCCTGTGGTTTCTTCCGATATTTATCATAGCTGCTTTGATCCATTAGATGTCCATAGAATTGGATCTCCTGGTCCCAAGTCCGGGAGGTTTGAACCCCGATGCTTTACCTTTTGTACCACAAGGATTTAAGCCTGGCGTGAGGGTTGTTAACCTTTCTTTACGGGTTGGCGAAAGTGCGATGCACGCAATGCACGCCTATGTGCCTATTAAGACATGCACGAAAGCCAGTGAACATGCACGAAAGCCAGTGAAGTCTGGGCGATGTTTGGTTACGGCTACGGCCAGTTGGTGCACCAGTCTCGAATACGGCGTATTAAGCGTTCATTTCGCAGGGCATGCAAACGTGTATTATAAATTGGACACACTAGCTACCATGGTAGATGTTTCATAGCATCCGACGTGCCTTTTCGGTTGCGAGGTCCTTTGAAGGCTGAAATACAGAGGTCAACACTGCAACCTCAATCTCGGCACAATAATCTGGTGTTGTTCTGAAGATTCTTTCCTGGAATGCCACTAGATGCTTGAGTTACTATGAATGGTTAGCCTGGGCCACGAGCCGACCTGAAGATGTACTCTTGATTCAAGAATCTAATTGGAAGTTCAATGGTCAATGGGAAATTGAACATTGGTATTGCATTCATTCTTAAGAGGCTGCTGCGAGCCAGCTTATCATGATCCGCAAAACATTGATCCGAGCATCCATGTTGGCGTATGCGGTGTTGATTCCAGGAAGATTGTTGCATATTCGCTTGATGTTAGACAGGGTCCATGATTTGTACACAATATATTAGACGGCCTGGAGCACGACCAAGTCAAGCCGTGCTCTGTTGCAAGAAAGGCAGGACCTGTGGGGGAAACTCCGTCAGTGTATTCAACATACTCCTCAAAGCCATATTATAGGGGACTTCAATTGTCCGCTACAACGCGATTCGCAATCCCTTGGCACTCATGATCCACGCTTTGACCAGGCACTTCAAACTGATAAACATGACTTCCAACTCATGATTCGTGAATTATCCTTGGTTGCAGTTCATTGCAAGCAGAAATACGTACCCACCTTTCTGCATGGTTGTCATCGGACCAGAATCGACTTCGCTTTCATGCGATCCAATCAGATTAGGTGGAAACACATAACTGCTTCAATTGACTGTCGGTTTGAGCGTATTGGTTTGCATCAGGGACCGCAACACCGTCCGTTACTCCTTGGCCTTCCCCGGTGGCATCCGATCAGATCCGTACCTTCGAAATTTGTTTCTATCGATCGGTTTCGAATTCGACAGGAGATGATCGCTGACACAACAGCATGGAGACACTTTGTCGTGGCAGCCCAGAGCTGTATCCTTAGACATCAGTCACCTAGCCTGAATTGTCCGATTGAAAACTGCTATTCCATGGAACATGATCTTAGAGAATTGTGTCTTGAGCATTTTCCTCGTCAGAAAAAACATTTTTCTTCTGACAAGACTGTGGTCTCCCTCACGGCCCGTATGTGGCATGCACGTCGACAGGCTAGACAGGTTCTGTACGTTCATGTTCGCACACTATTCCACAGTTGGAAACACCTCACCATCTTTGCGCGTTTGCATGCTTAGATTCGTAAATTTGGTAAGATCAACAAACGACACAAGCTTGAACAATTCTTGAAGGAAAATGTTCCCCATGCTTTGTCTAATCGTATGCATGATTGGTATCGCAACATCCGTAAACTCTGTCCTAAGCAGCCTTTTCGTAAGATACAATTGCATGATAGATTTGGCGCCCCTCTTCTTCCGCACCAGGAACTCGCTGTCCTTGTTGATCACTTTGGCACTATGTTCCATGATGAGTATTTTGAGTTAGCACCTGCTCCGTTGAACTCCATCCCATTCACTCAGGATCAGGTTGCAATGGGCCTCTCCAAACTTCCTGCTACGAAGGCACTTGCTCCGGACGGGATGCCGGGACTGATTTGGAAAGTCTTCGCACACGACATTGCAGCAGTTGTTTACCCCGCCATCGAATGCGCCTGGACTCAGTCGGGTATTCCCCCCTCACGTTGGGCCACTGGATGGCTGCATCTCCTCAGTAAGCCCCATAAACCTCCCAATCATCCTGCTGCGCTTCGACCCATATGTCTACAGCACCCAATCAGTAAAGTCCTCTCGGGCATTCATTGTGAACAAGTGTTGGAACACGCACTTCCTTCCCTTTGCCGGGTCCCCCTGTACGCCTACCTACCGCACCGCGGCACACAGGACTGTCTCCTGCTGACTTCTGACCACTGTCGATAGGTCAAAGCACTGTGCCAGGACCACAAAAGTGATCCATCTAAGTCTGGACTGTGGGGTGGCCTTCAGGTCTCACTCGATCTTGAGAAGGCTTTTGATGCCATTGACCGAAACTTGGTACTTCGAGCCATCCAACGATTCGAGTTGCACCCAGACCTTCAACTCCTAATTCAGTCTTGGCAACACAAACATAAGTACTGCATACCCCATAAAGATTTAATCGGACACGTCACAGCCAGCCGGGGTATAAAGCAGGGGTCCAAAGATGCCCCTTTGCTATGGACCTTGAGCATGTACCTGCTCCTCGACCACTTGATGGCCTGTTTCGATCTGCCCTGGATCATTTCCCACATTATCATCTACGCAGACGACATTCACCTCAGGTGGCTCATAGATAGTCCAGCCTTGGGCCTGTCGGCCTTACATGAACTAACTGTGGTGCTGGGTACGCTCAAGGCTTTCCATTTCAGGGTCAATCTGACCAAAAGTGTTGCCATCATGCGCCTTGTGGGAAAGTCCGCTCAGGCGTTTTTGAAACGATGGACGTCGAGAACAAAAGAAGGACCTCGTTTGCACCTGCCAGATCAATCCTTAAGCCTTCCTCTTGTCAGTAGGACAGACTACCTAGGTGTCACATTGAGCTATCGCGCATTTGATCATGACACCATTGTTCGCAGAATCAAAGCTGCAAATGTTTGCTTCCGCATCTTGAGGCAATGGCTCCTGGATCAGCATCATCCATTGTCAATTCGTCTTAGGTTGTATAACCAGTGTGTTTTACCCACAGTCTCATATGGCATCCACGAGATGGGGATTTCAATTCGCAGTTTTCAGATGATCAATGGCATGATTACCAAACATCATAGGACCATGACCCGATCCCCTGTGCACCACACCCGTGAAACCAACACGGCCTTCTATTCACGTATGCACATTGAACCTCCATGGTGCTATTTTGTTCGACAACAAACTCGTCTGAACGACTCCCTGAGTCGACGTCGTGACATCCTGATCCGTGAAGCCATGCAGACTGGTCAGCAAGATATATGCGTTTTGACCCCAGCCTACCCTGATAACCAATTACAACATGAACCCACGGCTTCACTCTCGTTCTCTCAGGCACCTGAACTCAAATGTCCAGAGTGTGATCGAGCTTTTCATCAGGCAGGACCCTGGAAACGACATATGCGTACTGCACACCAGATTCCCTGCCACATTGAAGATTTGTTTGATCCCCTGCGTGATTCATTTGAAGGGAAGGCAACATGTAGACACTGTCACAAGCAATTAGCTGATATATATCGCCTTAGATATCATATCAATGCCAGAGTTTGTCTCCAGTTTGATCCGCACAAGGAGACCATCGTGCCGATTGCTGACCGCCAGTCATTGAGAATGCATTTGCGCTACAAGTCCATCCCAGGTATTCTACTGGACAAAGCCCTGGTCTGTGAAATTGCACACCACTGTGTCTTTTGTCACCTTGCCGTGCCTGCTCGCTCCATTCGTAAACACTATGGAGAACGACATCAAGGTCTTTTGGTTTATGAAGCATTGCATCGCGATCAAGTGTATGGCCTTGCTAATCTAGGTAGTGGAAAAGGAACGTGTGTCTTGTGTGAGCAACAATGCAATGATGTTCGCACACACAAATGTGGAGTCTTGCTTCAGATTAGCATTCTGCTTGGACAGACATATGATGTTTCGCATTTTCCTGTCATGCCCACTATGATGCGCCCGCTTCGGGCCAACCGACCGTCATCAGGTCCAGGACATGCAGACAAGCCCGAGACTCCCAGTGAAGCTGCCCCCCTGGTGCCTCCATCCGACACACGGCCGACTCCGATGGAGGTTGATGACGACACCGAAGGGGCTGGTCCAAGTGCTCGATCAACCCCTCTGTTCAAATGTCTTGCTTGTAATACCACCTTCCTGACCGAGACTGGATTGATCACTCATCATCAAAAGCACCCGAAGCATGCTCAGATGGATCGTCCGCTTGACCAGATCACATCGGCCCCATCGGGATCCGAACCTCGCACTGCCAAGGTCACAGTGAAATTGATGCTCGCTTCTCATCCTGATGGACCCTGCCCGGAGCCCGCAAAGATGTATAGATGCCCTTTGTGTCAAGACTACGTAGGCCGTAAGGCCCTCATCAGCCATCTTCGGAAATATCATGATGTCCACAGGCCTGATGGTTTCCCCTTTGATCCGGTCCAGGATATGCATAGGGGTCATCTTGCATGCAAGCA